GTGTGTGTGTGAGCGAGAGGCTCATAGCTCACTGCACTCTCCTGTGCTATCTCTCTCTCTTTCTCTTTCTCTCTCTCTCTCTGCCCATGCCTGGTCAGAGTCATGCCCCATCAATTTCCCATCCATTGACTTCACATGTATGCACCTGCAGAGAGAAGGGAGTGGTAAGTAGCATCTCCACAGCCTTCCCCTTAGGGCTGTCGCGGTGAGGGAATTTCCCTTGCAGTAATTTTGAGTGGCTCAATAGCGCGGTATGCGGTATTATCGCCATACATATATAAAGTTTGTGTGTGTATGTGTTACGATATAACTAACGAGGTCATATTCAGAAGACAATGAAACCGTAACCAAATAGCGTTGAAACGGGAAGTGAAGTAAACAGAAGAGAATGACAAAATAATGGTCCACATAACAGAACATAAACCTGACAATAAGATCGTTAGGCTATCGTTAGCCTATATGTATAACAGTTAGCCTAGTTGTATTCTGATCTTCTAATCTGACTGGACAAGAGACTTTCTATTGATATTTCCACCTGCGCGCGTTCTAGATGGGCTGTCAGGCAGTGCAGTTACAGTGTTGCGCCACAAGGTGGTGGAAAGGGACTGTCATTCAACTACACGTTCAAAAACGCTGATTCATTCATTGAAACGCTGTTGAAATCATTTTAACTTTGAGCGCCACTTTAGAAGGCTCAGCTGACCAGCTATGCGTCGATGCTAAGAGAGATATCGCTTTCCTTGGACATGACAACCTATGTTCACAAATATATATGACTCGGCCTGGAGGACAGACGCAAGTAATCGCACACACTTAGTCGATCTCTCTCTCATTCACTGTCTGTTTAGAGATATCGCTTTCCTTGGACATGACAACCTATGTTCACAAATATATAAGACTCGGCCTGGAGGACAGACGCAAGTAATCGCACACACTTAGTCGATCTCTCTCTCATTCACTGTCTGTTTAGGCTTGTTAAGTGCAAATCTACGGAGACTCTGTACAAATCAGCATGGTACACATTGTTATCATTACTGACTTGTTTAATATTCAGTCCACATGCATGAAGTTTAAAACGAGAAGGGCATAACCTTACGAAAAAAGAAAACTCTGCGGTTTGCTCGTCAGTGGCGCGGTATTGCGATATTGCGGTTATCGCGACAGCCCTACTTCCCCTGCTTGTCCATCGCCCGCTGCTCCTCTCAGGCTGTTTTCATATTTGTTTCGAACCCGAGTTTGACTCTGCCCCCTCTTCTTTCCCCCACCGCCGCCACCTCACGCTGGCTTATTTTGACCTCGAACGACGGTACGCTTTCAGCATCTACCACAGAGTTCCACCGTAAATAGGCACTAAAAATGTAAAGCATTTTTGGCTTGCTGTTATTGTTTTTCTATCAAAACTGCTCCCAGAACAACACTTTTGGATGCACTTGTTGCTTGCCAAATGCGATTTCTTCCAAGTCAAGTATCAATTTGGAGGCCCAAATGGAAATGAGCCTTTTCTGCATTTTTCCACCTTGATTTATTGGGAAATCTGTGGAATTTCGCAGAAAGGATTTAAGTGTGATAATGCATATTGAACGAAAGTAAGAGTATTAAATTTACTGGTAGTTGACTTGTAGTGTACTTGTACAAAAGCAGTTTACTTCTGCAAAATTAGGACGGATTGCTTTCATACAAATGACCTGTTCAGATTAAGTACAATAACTTTAACTATAAAGTTTTAGTAATCGTAGTTCACAGCTATAACGATAATGACAGAGAAACAATATAGTTGGAATCATATTCAGAATTTTTTTTTTCCAGCTGATCAGAACATACCCGACTTTAAAGAGCTTAAGCATTTAAACCAGCAGGAGACAACAAAATTACAGTGTGCTTATAATAAACAGAATGTTATCATCCATTGATGTGGACGCTAACGTAGTTATTATTGTTATAGTTATCTTTATAGGTATCATTTTGGTTTGCAATCCACATAAATTCACTGTTCCCCAGATCCCCATTTTCTAACAGAGCCTAGCATTCACACCAACCAAATTCACTTCTGACGTCAAATGGACTGAAAATGGCTTCAGGTTCAGAGACTCTGACTAACCCTTCGGCTCCGCACAGTTGGTCCTGCTGACTCCCACTATTTACCATCTGCCTTCAGCAAATGCATCAGCTTTCTCCTAATTAACCACCATGTCAGACATCTAGGCAGTGCACATTTGATCGGCTAAGTTTCCACAGCAGGCCCCGGTCCAGTACATTCTCTGCCCTCTCGGGTCAACGTGACTTCTGCTCTGAGCATGATTCCCTGCATCGAGCATGATAAACAATGGCTGCTGTCATTGTGGATAAATACTTTGGCTTTAGAATCTGTGTGAATGCTTGCCTGAGTGGATGACATTCAACTGTGCACTATTACCCAGAAGAGTCACCCGCCAAATAACACAGTGCTCGTCCATTTCCATGAAGCGATCTGAGAAAGTCTTTGTTTTCATGTGCTGTATGGCTCGCCCACTATGTGTCAGAGCAGCTCTGATTTCTGCGCACCTGTTTAGACTTTGGGTTTATATCACAAAGCAACCCAGGCCTGTTGTAAACTAACTCTGTATTGAAGTGTTTGCGATTAAACTGTTGCGTTACGGTGATGATATTGGTTTTTATGGCAGTGTATGTGTCTGTGTGTCTTTGGCGCAGACCCTGTGCCAGTGTTCATGTCATGGCAAGAGGAGACCGAGTCAGGGGAGGCCCAACTGTCTCCGCTGGCGGGCTGCATGATGCCCCCACCTCTAGAAGAAGATACTCAGCCGCAACTGGCCCGGCGGTTTCTGGAGTTTGGCCACAGTCAGCGGTTCTTGCAGCAGGACCACGATGCTACATCCTCCACCAAAGCTTTGCCCTGTGGGAGGTGAGCAGAGAGACCACATGCACTTATGATTGCTCCGATGCACTGACAACCAAACTCACGCTTGTGTCACGTCTCACAGGCCTCGCCGTGCTTCCCTCCCTTCCAAAGACAGTCTGAAGGGAGACACCGTTTCCCAGCAGTTCACCAAGAAACTCCAGAACCTCAAGAAGAAAATCAAGCAGTTTGAGGAACAGTTTGAAAAAGAGAGAAACTACAAGGTTAGAATGATATACACTACTGGTCAAATGTTTTAGATCGGTAAGATGTTTTTGAAGTAGTCTTTTTCGCTTACTAAGGCTGCATTCATTTGATCCAAAATACAGCTAAAACAGTAATATTGTGAAATATTTTTACAATTTAATCAATAAAATAAATGTTTTCTATTTGAATATAGTTTAAAATGTGATTTATTCCTGTGATGCAAAGCTGAATTTTCAGCATCATTACTCCAGTCTTCAGTGTCACATGATCTTCAGAAATCATTCTAATATGCTGATTTGCTGCAATTTTCTTCAGGATTAGATTTCTGAAGATCATGTGACACTGAAGGCTGGAGTAATGATGCTGAAAATTCAGCTTTGATCACAGGAATAAATTACATTTTTAAATATATTCAAATAGAAAACTGTTATTTTAATTTGTAATAACATTTCACAAAGCCATGCTGAGTTTGCACATTTTTCAAAACCATTACTGCTTTTACTGTATTTTGGATCAAATAAATGCAGCCTTGGTGAGCTGAATAGACTTCTTAAAACCGCTCTAAAACTTTTGTCCTGCAACACTATATTTCTCAGAACACCATCGCACCCTACATACGTAGCAACATGCTGATGACTATTTAGAACACTCTAGCAACCATATAGCAAAACCTTTGCATTGTGACAAGTGGCTAAATCCAGTGTACAACTATTGCCATGCACATTCTCAGTTAAATTGATATCACTGTTTGTCGTTTGCAGCCGTCTCACGCTGATAAGGCAGCTGATCCAAAGGTGCTGAAGTGGATGACTGACCTTACCAAAATCCGCAAGCAGCTCAAAGGTAAGAGTGGCTGTGTGGGCCGGGGGAGCGATATGGGTGTGGAGTTTCTGATAGTCAGTGTCAGTCTTGGTCTGGGCCTGCCTGGAGAAGTGCACCTTACACTGCATGTCTGTAGAGGCTCTGGGGCTCTCTCTCATGGGAACACCCTCATACTCTATTGGAGAGCCCTCTGCTCACTGTGTTTGGCCCCCCACACTTCCCATCATCCATTTCCATTTGATGCCCCCCATCAGAGGTGCACTGTCGTATAAAGTCTCTCTTTCTCTTTAACTAAATCTACTCGGGACGACCCGCATCGGCAGGACGACAGCACCTCTTACCCAAAGGTTCCCTGAGGCACCCGGCCGTGCTTCAGTCATACAGACGCCACTCGTCCTCTTCCTCCGTCCCGAACACACCCCATTTTACACTGTCACGCCCCCTCAATGCCTCTAGACAGGCGCCCCACTTCTGTAAGTACACTTAAGCAGCAGTAAGTAGACTTGAGTTTGACACTCTCTGCTCTCCTCTCTCTCTGTTTCTCTGACCGCAGTCTCGCAGACACTTTCCCCCTACGGGACGCTCTCAGCCACATGTCTCAGCTTTAATCATATAAAGTGTATGTTTATGAGGAATATCATATCAGGTTCAAAGGCTCACAGGCTGTTCTCAGTCACCAGGCCTGTGTTTCCAAAATGCTTCTTTGGCCCTCTGATAGTGTACTTTGTGAGGTCGTCAGTGCACTATTGATGGACTTTTTCGTAGTTTGTGGTAATGCTGAGTGTGGTCGATCACTGACCTTGTATTTCTTTCGGTTGGTGTGGTCTACTCCATCCTAAATGTCCGCGGCGACCAGCAAACCTTCTGGTCTCTTAAATCGGTCTTTGTTTTTGTCTCTCTCACCCAGATGCCAAACACAAGGCTGAGAGTGAGCTGACTCCACAGACGCGGCCACGCAGTAACACTCTGCCCAAGAGCTTTGGATCCACACTGGATCAGTCGGCTCACGAGGACCCTGTGGAGAGTGAGGCATGGGGTCACCGGCCCACAAGAGAAGAGACGCTGGAGCTCGTTCAGCACTGCATCCAAACCAAGAGAGCCGAGGACGGCTGGCCAGAGGACGTCAGAGTGAGTTCCAGCTTCTTAAAACTTTAATTTGCAGCTTTGATGTATTACGAACTGATATAATCTCAGACATTGTCAGGAAGTTAGATTTGTAACATCTAATGGCTAGAATACATTACGTGACCTGTGCACAGATTTTTGCCCTGATTTACAGTCTGCATGAGTCAACGCTAGTTAAAAGTCACAGCTGGTCTACAGATTTTGGGCTGCTGGGTTTGACAAATTTCATAGAAAATTAATAGTGTGTAATGGGCAGAGACTCCAATTTTGGCTTCAGACCATGATTCCATCCAGTTCAAGGATATCAAACCTGTAATTATTTAAGCAGATTTTAAAACACATTGTTTTCATGCATCGTGTGTCTCCTAGTAATGAGGCATACACTGCTGTTCAAAAGTTTTTGAAAGAAGTCTCTTATGCTCAAGGCTGCATTTATTTGATGAAAAATACAGAAAAAGCAATAATATTGTGAAAGTTTTAATATTCTTTAAAATGTAATTTATTCCTGTGATCAAAGATGAATTTTCAGCATCATTATTCCAGTCTTCAGTGTCACATGATCTTCAGAAATCATTCTAATATGCTGATTTATTATTTTTATTATAAATGTTGGAAACAGTTGTTCTGCTTAATATTTTTTGGAACCTGTGAAACTTTTTTCAGGATTCGCATTGTTTTCATGCATCGTGTGTCTCCTAGTAATGAGACATACACTGCTGTTCAAAAGTTTTTGAAAGAAGTCTCTTATGCTCAAGGCTGCATTTATTTGATGAAAAATACAGAAAAAGCAATAATATTGTGAAATATTATTGCAATTTAAAATAATATTTTTCTGTTTTAATATTCTTTAAAATGTAATTTATTGCTGTGATCAAAGCTGAATTTTCAGCATCATTACTCCAGTCTTCAGTGTCACATGATCTTCAGAAATCATTCTAATATGCTGATTTATTATTTTTATTATAAATGTTGGAAACAGTTGTTCTGCTTAATATTTTTTGGAACCTGTGAAACTTTTTTCAGGATTCTTTGATGAATAAGAACAGCATTTATTTAAAATAGAGATCATTTATAACAATATAAGTCTTTACTGCCACTTTTTGTCAATTTAACACATCCTTGCTGAATAAAAGTATACATTTCTTTCAGAAAAAAAAGGATACAAAATGTACTGACCCCAAACTTTTGAACGGTAGTGTATATTGTTAGAAAAGATTTCTATTTTAAATAAATGCTGTTCTTTTTAACTTTTTATTCATCAAAGAATCCTGAAAACGAAAACAAAAAAATTAAGCAGCACAACTGTTTCCAACATTGACAATAAATCAGCATATCAGAATGATTTCTGAAGATCATGTGACACTGAAGACTGGAGTAAAGATGCTGAAAATACAGCGATTTATTATTTTTATTATAAATGTTGGAAACAGTTGTTCTGCTTAATATTTTTTGGAACCTGTGAAACTTTTTTCAGGATTCTTTGATGAATAAAAGTTCAAAAGAACAGCATTTATTTAAAATAGAGATCATTTATAACAATATAAGTCTTTACTGCCACTTTTTGTCAATTTAACACATCCTTGTTGAATAAAAGTATACATTTCTTTCAGAAAAAAAAGGATACAAAATGTACTGACCCCAAACTTTTGAACGGTAGTGTATATTGTTAGAAAAGATTTCTATTTTAAATAAATGCTGTTCTTTTTAACTTTTTATTCATCAAGAATCCTGAAAAAAGTTTCACAGGTTCCAAAAAATATTAAGCAGAACAACTGTTTCCAACATTTATAATAAAAATAATAAATCAGCATATTAGAATGATTTCTGAAGATCATGTGACACTGAAGACTGGA